CACTCTACCACTGAGCTACCTTCCCAGCCCAATGCTGCTTTTATTGTATATTTTTATTTAGTTGATAAAATGGCTGTTCATCCTTCCTAAAATCAGGAAAGGATTGAATAAGTAGATAAATCAGAGATGAGAGTCAAACTGAAGTCTTTGGGTTTTGTTATATCACACGGCCTGTGCTCTTTCAAGTTTGTGATGGAGGAGGATTTGGACTCCCTCCAAATCAATTTCCATTACCGACAAAATGAATAACGTGATTCCTTCCTTCTGAGCTGGGCCTGTGAAACAGACATGTTTCCTTCCTCAGGAGCCAGATGGGGGGCTGGTGGTGCTGAGTGGAGGGGGCACCTCTGGACGCATGGCATTCCTTATGTCGGTGAGTACACTGATAGCTTATTTTCCTCCTTCCCCCTTCTATAACTGATCCCCCCCAATCAAAAATTTACCCTCATAAGTCCCCAAGTCTACTGTTTACTGGACCTGGGCTCCATGCCTCACACTCTCCTCTAAAACCCACTGTAGAGTTCTACTTCTCCTGACCCTTTTGGAATCCTACCACTTGATTGCTTAGATCTCTACACCCTAGCACATTCCTAATGAATCATCTTCAAGTTGTGTATTTATTTGTTGACTTGTTTAGTGCCAGTTTTAGGGCTTGAACTCAGGGCCTTGTATTTTTGTTGGGGTTTTGCATTCAATACTGGCAGTCGACCACTTGAGCCATACCCACACGTCTGGCTTTTTGCAGGTTAATTGGAGATAAGAGTCTCTCAAACTTATCTGCCTAGGGTGGCTTTGGATCTTGATCCTCAGATCTCAGCTTCCTGAGTAGGATTGCATGTGTAAGCCATTAGTGCCTGGTACATCTCATCTTCCCTCCCTCCCCCTAGGCTTGGAGCTTGAACTCAGGGCCTGGGTACTGCCCCTGAACGTTTTTGCCCAAGGCACTTTAACCACTTGAGCCATAACTCCACTGCCAGCTTTTTGGTGGTTAATTGGAGATCAGAGTCTCACGATCTTTCCTGCATGGGGTAGCAGGAAAGGATTCTGAGTAGGTTACAGGTGTGAGCTGCTGGTGCCTGGCTGGTATATCTCATCTTTATTGTTGCAGTACACAGTTTATTCTATATATCAACAGTTTTGTACACTGCAAATAAACAGCATGGAATCCAAGTGCATCTTCAAGTGGCAGATTCCTTGTACAGTTGGGTAAAGCACTGCCTGACAGATTCATTATAACACTTCTACCCTAGGAATTGATCATCAAGAGAATTGTTCCTTCACTGTCATTTCCTCTTCACATCTCCCTCTTTACAGGTCTCCTTTAACCAGCTAATGAAAGGCCTAGGACAAAAACCTCTTTACACCTATCTCATTGCGGGAGGTGATAGGTAAGTCAGCTTGACAGTGAATGTTTTGTTTGGCCTGAATATGTACTTTTTTTCTTCTTTTGGAAATGGACTTGGACAAAGATTATAATGAAAATGTTTCAGTCCCCACCATTTTTTTTTGGGGGGGGGTCCGGTCATGGGGCCTGAACTCTGGGCCTGGGCGGTGTCCCTCAGCTCTCAGCTCAAGGCTAGCGCTCTACCGCTTGAGCCACAGCGCCGCTTCTGGCTTTTTTCTTTTTGCTTATGTGTGCTGAGGAATCGAACCCAGGGTTCAGGCATGCAAGGCAAGCACTCTCCCACTGAGCCACCTTCCCAGCCCCTGATTTACATTAGGCCACCTTCCTATAGTCATGTTTCCTAACTGGCCTTTGTAGGTACTTGAGTTTTGATCAACTCTATGGAGTATCTCTCATGGTTCCCAGCAAACAGTAGATGCTCATTTTATGGTGGTTTTCCTTCATTCCCTCTTCTCAGTGCGACCTTCTCTAATGAACTATTAGTGTCTGCTTCCTAGCCAGTGCCATTGACCCTGTGTCTGCCCTCTTAGGTCTGTAGTGGCTTCTAGGGAGAGGACTGAAGATAGTGCCCTCCATGGGATTGAGGAACTGAAGAAGGTCTGTTCATTACACTAAGCTCATCCAGAGATCTTTGTCTCCTCCTTCCCCAACAGACCCAATATTCAGCCAAGCCTGTCCCTCCCCCGGGCCCTGCTGCCCTCACACACAGGTTTGTTTCTGTCCTCTTCTCCTAGGTAGCTGCAGGGAAGAAGAAGGTGATTGTCATCGGCATTTCTGCGGGACTCTCCGTAAGTGTGAAGTTGGGTTGACAGCATTCACTTTACAAGGAGACATGAATGAGAATGGAACAACATAGAAAGCCAATCGATAAAGAGGGTGTTAGCAAAGAGAAACTTTCTGGACATCGGTGGAACTGATAATCCTAGCTTCTTGGGAGGCTGTGATTGGGAGGACTTCTGTTCAAGGCCAGTCCTGGCAGAAAAGTCCAAGAGATTTTTTTTTAATCTCACCAGAGGGAAGCTGGACATGGAGGTATGTCCCCATGATCACACAATAACTAGAGGAAGCCTAAAGAAGGCAGACTGCAATCCAGGAACGTACCTGAGCAAGAAGAAAGGCCCTATTTCTGGAACACACACACACATACACACATAACACATAACCAGCAAAAGTATGGCTAGATACATAGTTTGGTGGCAGAGTATCTGCCTAGCAAGCATGAAGTCCTGATTTCAAACCTCAGCATTGCTCTCCTCCTCTAAAGAAAAAAAGTCAGAGAATTTACACAGGAATTTTTATTTTTAGTTCCACTCATTTGAATCCAGTTCAGATGTAGGAAGAAGAGGAAGGGTTCCTATCTTAATAACTGTGTATCGATCCATCAAAACTATGATAGATTAGTTCAGAGGTCAGCAAACTATGCTGGCAGCCAACCTAGCCAGCTGCTTGTTTTTGTGCATCAGGTTTCACTGGCACATAGACATGTGTGTTCACAGATTGTCTATGGCCTCTCTTTTACTCAATCCTAGGCATACCAAACCCATTGCACAAGAAGTAGGCCCCTAAATGAATTCCTTGCCACTTGAACTAGGATCCCTGCACCCACAGAATTGGCATCACCTGGGACTTTAGAAATGTACGATCTTAGGCCCTTCTGAAACTAAATCTTCATTTTAACAAGAATCTCAAATAGTTTGAGAAGCAAGGTGACCCCACATTTCCTGTCCAGCTCCATAGCTCTCTGATTCTAGGAACTCAGTGAGTAGAAATCTAGATGGCAGCAGTATATGATGTGGAAAGAAAAGAAGACTTGGTCTTCAAGGTACTTGCCATTTAGTTCCATAGTTTTTAAACTTTATTGTGCAGTGGGTTTCTTTGGAGAAACTTATTTGAAATGTATTACCTTTGGGGTATTTACTAAAAGTGTGTTTCTGCTTCTCATTTGGACCCAGTGGATCTTTTATTTGTTTGTTTTTGCCAGTCCTGGGGCTTGAACTCAGGGTCTGGGCACTGTCCATGAGCTTCTTTTGCTCAAGGCTAGCACTCTACCACTACCACTAAGCCACATTCCAATCCCCCAGTACGTCTTAATTGGGCCTAGATACCAATACCATTTTTTTTTTTTGCAGTGCTAGAGTTTAAAGACAGGGCTTCAATTGAGCTTGCTAAGTTGACTCCACTCTAGCATGTGAGCCAGACAACTTCTAGCCCTTTATGCTCTGGTTATTTTTGAGGTAGCCTGGGCTTTTTGCCCAGATTAGCCTTCTATTTGTGTTTCCTACTGTAGCTGGGATGACAGGCATGTTACCAGGCTCAAATTTTTTTTTTGGGTTGGGTTTTCCCACCTTTTTTTTTTTTTTCTGAGTTGGCTTCAAACTACAATCTCAGCCTCCTAATTATTGGAGGATTACAGGAATGAACCACTAGGGCCAGGCAGGAATCTTCTCAGAGATTTTGATACACATGAGCTTTTTTGCAGCATTCAGAATAAACCTTTTCATCATGCCTTTCTTTCGGGTTACCATTAGGCTCCCTTTGTAGCAGGCCAGATGGACTACTGTATGGACAACACAGCTGTCTTCTTGCCAGTCCTGGTCGGTTTCAATCCAGTGAGTATGGCCAGGTAAGCCTTCTATAATGATGGGCTAGCCCTGAGAGTGTGTAGAAGACATGTCAAAGCCTACAGTACGATCACAAAGGAAATGACAAATATAGTTTTGTTTGCTGAATCTCAGACTATTGAAGTTCAATATGGGGGCCCTTTAAGCTTCTGCTTTTTTGTTGTTGTTGGTGGTGGTTAGTTGGTTTACTTAAAAAAAATCCTTTCCTTATTTCAGAAAGTTCTGTGATTTCATTTGCAGTGAGCCTCAAGCATTTTTCTATTATTTACGTATTTGCTTATTTATTT